TCATTATTATATTTTAAATTCGGTGAACTGATACAATCTTTTGGTAAATTACAATTTGGAGTACTTGAAACTAGGTTATTGTTCACATTATCTGATGTGGACAGATTATTTAATGAACCAATTTCTCTAAATAAATAAAAAGTTTAAATACCAAAAAAAAAAAATAAAAAAATATTTAGCTACACTAAATCTAATCGAAATTCAAAGAAAAATTATCAAAAATATTTTGCAGGTATAAAAATTAAAATAAATTATAATGAGTGTATGAGCGTATTAGGTACCAAAAATTAACAAACCTGTTAGGAACCAACTGCAACGTAGTCAAAATATCAGTTTCATTTGACGTCTCACCAAATGGTAATGGATTAGAAGTAAAACTTCAAAATAAAATATAAAACATAATATTTTATAACAATAGAATAAAGTTTAGGTATAAATTCTGTTTATCTACCACGCCAATTTTGAAAATTTTTATTTTTTTAACATGTAGGCGTGAACGGCGTGAACTATTTTATTTTATGAGGCAAGTATAAATGCTGGACCACCACCACCTAAATTTTATCACACAGACCCGTGGGGGCTTTGCCCCCACACCCCTAATTCACAATTCTACAACAATAATATACTTTGTTGTGTTAATATCAGAAATATAAAAAAATTATTATAAAATTAGTATAATTAATAGTATTAGACATTAGTTGACCTCTATACACTAGTTGTTCTCTATACATTTTATTATAGGTATTTTAACTCTAAAACCACTTTTTAGTGAAGTTATGACTGTTTTTCGTGGACATGTTTATACCCATAGGCGTGCGCACGGGAGGGGCAGGGTGGGCAGCTGCCCCTCCTGCGGGCTCAAGTTTTCTTACAAAATAACAAAGTTTTTAAAAAAATATTATAATACAGTTTTATATAATGAATATTATGTAAACATTGAGTGCTCGATGTACAGTGCACGATGATTTTATGTTGTCCAACTTTAAGCGAACCACAAGCGATACCGCGGTGATAACGAGTGCTTATAATCTTATTATAGCATGATGTAGATTGAGATGTGATGAGACATGAAAGTGAGTAGTAATTTGACGGCATTTAATGCGAAAAACGTTCACCGGAAGCGCTAAGAAGGTCGGTTCTTTAAATAATTAGTAATTAATAATTATAATAATTAGTATGCAGTATACGAACAAATATTATAGCTCTTTACTTCCGAAGCAATTTTCGGAATTTTTAGTATTTTAGTATTTTTATGCTCAACGTGTTGATTAAATCAGAATATACCTATCTTTTTTTTTAATGTGGTGTTTTATATTGAAATTAATTTTCTATTTATACTGTAACCTACAAATCAAATTGTTTATTATATACCTATAAAGTATAATTTATAAAACAGTTTAAATAATAGGTTACATGCCTACAATAATGTATAAATTTCAATATTACCAAAGAATAGAATATTATTGATACATTAATGCATGATATAATAGTGGTACTATTTTTGGAAAAATCATACTAAGGATTTACATTTTTTTTTAAATGTTGATATTTATATGTTCAACGTGTTGGTGCAAATAATAATTTACCTATCTTACTTACTTTTTTTGTAATTGTAAATAAATAGTAAGTAGAATTAGTAAATTCAGATTTCACCAACACATCGGGCATAAAAATATATATGAATGCAGTGGCGGATCCAGGGCTTAATTTTGGGAGGGGCATGGGGGGCTCAAAAGTATATGAAAGTTCCAAAATTGGCTAAACACAGTGTAAAACAAAGGAAAACTACGGTTATTGGGGGGGGGGCAAATGCCCCCTTTTCCATCCCCCTGGATCCACCACTGTATGAATGTAATAATTTTCTTTGTTCATGTATATTAATATAATATAAAAAACTTTGGAGTTTCAATTACTATATTAAATTTGTAGTTATTTGTAGTTTTAATGATACATAAAATGAAAATACTTCCATCACTTACATTAATTGAACTAATAACCAAAATAATATTTACTTACCTATATATTATATAATATACCTATAGGTACATTATTACATTCTGCCCCCCCTGCCAGCAAGGTCTGCGCACGCCTATGTTTATACCGTTGAAAATAAGCGGTATAACGTCCTCTTAATTACTTCGTATTATATCGTTATATATATATATATAATTATATTGTTAGATATAAAAGTCCAATACTTTGTATAACAATATAATATAGCACTGATAAAAATAATACAAAATACAAAATATTTGTACAAAAGTACATTTTTATAAAAAAAAACCGAAACGTGCAATTTTGTGCAAAAACCCAAAAACGTGCAATTTTGTGCAACATAAAACTTTCTTTAAATTAATCTACATCTCTTGATTTGGATTTGTAGCTTGTTTCTATTGAATTTAGAACACGCCATAAAAAGATGCAATTGCACAGGAATCCGGTCTTTAATGATAGTATTTCAAAGGTATTATTTTTACAGACCCCTGGACCCCCCTTAATCCGCCCGAAACTGGAATCGTTATTAGAATCGTAGAGTAGAATAGAAATATTTTAATTTATTTATTGAACGGGTAGAGCCCTAAATATAATTATTTTATTTTATTTTTCTATAAACGTTCAAGCAGACAATGAAAGTATTTACATTTCTAACATTTCTAATATATAATATAATTTATATTTGTATATACTTACTTATTTTTTTTGTTTCGTCGTAGTGAAAGGGAACTAGTGAATTTTTTTTTAGATGACCGTTTCCGTTTCTGCTTATTTTCTTTATTTGCCATTGTCAAAAAAAAAATGGAAAATAATAATACAAAATTCACAAAAAAAAAAATTGAACACGACGACACAGAAATCCCGAAGAAATGATGTGATCACAACGAATTACCCAGGAGGAATGGCTGTGACGGTTGTGTATATGCATCAAAATTGAATATTTATTTTTGTACCAATTATTGAAAATACAGCTATTCATAGTCTCATATTGTGACTTCCGCTAACATAATTCGTAATGAGTATAGGATTTGGGACTTCTAGGAATTTGCATGTTTTTCAATAATCATTCAAAACATAGCTTAGTAACATAGGAATTTGTTTCATAACAATAGTACAATACGAGTTTATAATCAAAATGTATGGTTGCATATTTTACATATTTGACCATTTTTAATTTAAAAGTGTATATTTACTTTGACATTTTATTTTTTTATTTTTGTTTAATTGTCATAATAGGCATACTTGTGTAAAAATAAAATAATAAATACTAATACCAATAGTATTTTTTACCAGCAACTTACCATAATGTATAGAATGTATTCCGTATGAAAAGACGGATATTTATTAGGTGGTGTAGGTACTTGAGTTATTATAAATTATGCATAGGACTTTGAGCCCTTTGAGGTAGATACCAGGTATACCTACTATCTGAAAATATTAGTATGTCCGTAATAATAATAATTTATAATTTATATTAATTTATAATATTATAAAATAGTAAAACGAATAAGAGTTTGTAGATCGTAGGTGGAATGCTATCAATCGTCAAGACCAATTTTAATATTATAATAAAAATAAAAACAATTATTAGCTTATAAAATATTGTCATTTTATAGTATTAGATAGATAATAATGATATTGTTTATATTAGTTCGGTCTATTCCTGGAAGCTTCCGATAACCATCGACCGACCGTCACCGCGCGATAGTCGAAGCGGATATTCAGTTTTTGGAGTAGTGGGGGGAAATCGCGACCGACCTCTTAACGGCATGCAGGTAGCAGCACATTACAGCAATGAAAATATTAAATCAATCTACGTAAACATGTTTACGGAAAACAAACAAAACAGCATTAAAAAGCGATTTTAGAGCGAAAATACCTATTATGAGATTTAGAGAAAACAATATTTCGGAGACAACCTCATCGGGGTTTTGTATTATTTTAAATATATAGCTCCTTATAATAGGAAAAAAAACCTTTTTTTTTTACATTTTTTAAACAACTGTAACTTTTGTAATAATTTATATTTAAAAAAACGCCAATGAGGTTGTCTCCTAAAAATTCTTCTCTATACATTTCATAATAGGTAATTTTACTCTAAAACCATTTTTTGGCAGCGTTTTGTTTGTTTCTGGTAGACCTGTTTTTACCGCTAAATATTACGGGTGTAACGTCCTCTTAAGTTATAGCCACGCAGATTAGAGATATTCTAGTCTTCGTGGTTATAGCCTAATACGAAGTTCACGATTTTCAATGTTTTAAGCATAACTGCACAAGGCAGTAGGCACAACGTTTACCGTGCTTATAACTTATAACATAAATAAAATAAGTAATAAAGATATGGATTGGCCAAGCCTACGTTGAATACATTCGAGGCAGCGGTCTTGGAGGGGAAGGCAATTGAGGCACTTTTTAGTTTTTATATTGATGGTCGATACTCGATTTGGTACACCATGATAAAAAGAACATTTTTTTATGGGTATAACTTGTTTGGTCTCAACTCTCAATTGGAAGGTTTTTATGAAAACTGTTTTTCTGGAAGTGCTGTTGTTAAGTTAACAGGGTCAATACAATAATACATAATACTGATTACATATTTACAGGATAAATTTAACAGAAAATAAAAATATGACAGAATTACAGAAGGCAACATTTGAAGCGTCGCGGACAGCGACACGCACCGCAGTTGTGGCCGTTTAATCTTGCGAGTTGCGATTCATTTCGGGACGTTATCACAATTTGTCTTTATGGATGTAAGCCACAGAATATTCTGTGTGTAAGCACAGCGATCAGCTGTTTGATGATTGTAGCTTTTATCACAAAATATGTTATTATTGCCAGAATTAATAATTATAGGACGATAGGACAATACTGAAAATGCCAATAACTGTGAAATTATTAAGTAATAGAGTGCAATATTTTAACTTTTAAGTAACTAGCTTCTAAGTTAACGAACTGAAAATTTACTTAACACAATTATTGTATCGCCTTGTTTTCAAAGTAAAATGTTGAGCCTAAAACTTTTTCGTCAATTTAATGTAAGTATTCACATTTAAATTATGTCCTGCCAATCAATTTCTCATTTTTAATAAAAAAAAATCAAATGTCTTGTTTACCACTTCACACTTACAGTAAGTATTTTGTTTCTCATGCTATTGGTGACATTAAACCGATTCACACACTTCAACAGTGCGTTAAACGATATTGGTCTTTGGGCGGCAAATATCTAACCTGCACAAAAAGATACCATACGTACAAATAAAAACGAGAAATTGATTGGTAGGACATAATTTAAATGTGATGTGAATACTTACATTTGGATTCAATAACATGTTAGATGTTTTATTTCATTTTAGAAGCCTTTACTGACTGCTCCAGTGATAGCGCGTTTCACTGGAAGTGCTGCAGCTGTTAAGACTGGAAAAAATTATGCTAGTCATTGGAGAACAGAACGTATTGTTTCTATAGCACTTATGGGATTGTTTCCTGCCTCAGTATTATATTCATCACAAATAGTTGACACTTTATTGGCAGGAAGCATTAGTCTCCATGTTTACTGGTAATACCATAATATTATTAAAGTTAATTGTATAGTTTTATATTTAGGAGTTAATGCAATTTGGAATATTAAAGTGAATTGACCAACTATCAAACCTAAAATATGTTAAAGGTAAGAACAATATCTGTGTTTTTACATTGGTTTTTATTTTTTACAATGTATTATTTTTTTAAGCAAGATGAGCAAAAATACAATTTAAAATGCTCATAGATCGATTAAAAATTAAAATATTGTAAAAAACCAACATACTAAATCAGATCATGTTCTTACCTTATTCACTCAACCAAGAAAACACATGAGGGGCTTTAGTGAAATCTCTTATCACTATGGAATTTTACGGATGAATTAAGAGGATGCCTCACCCGCATGTGTTTCTCCGTTTTACAAATGTACATTATAGTTAATCTTTAGTTAACAATAATCCATTTTACTCTGTTATTTGCATATCTTTAAATACTCATAACTCGCTTTAAAATTAAAATATAATAAAAAGTATATGAGAAGCCTTTGATAATAATCTTACCTTAAATTTTCTAATAGGAAATTTCACTCTAATTTTAGAAATTACAGAGTAAAAAAAATGTATTATTTTAAACTTAAAATTGTCCATGTTGTAGGTACATTTGTAAGACAGATCACAGATACAACATATGAGGGTATGGCGTGGGAGGGGGGGATACGTTGGGATGACATCCCTCAACTTTTTATAATTTACATTTTCCATCCCTCCACTTTTTTCGTCAAAAATAATGTATCCCCTTGATAATTAATTTCATATATGAAAACTGTATAAAATATGAAAGGTATCCCTCCACGTATTTTGAGCCACTTTGACCACTTACTCTGTTCCCCGTTAGTTGACCATTGACCAACTTTTTTGTTTTTTGCGCACTAGGATTATGGTAAAAATGTTGTGACAATACAGTTCACTGTAGTTCTACAGTTTCACGTCGCAAACCCCACAGTGTATACATAGTGAACAGTATTGTCACAACGTTTTTTACGGGGAACAGAATATAGAATACATATTTTTTTTAATATCTAGAGTTTAGATAAAAAAGCTTGCAATACAAAACTTTGTTGGGAAGAATACTTCATATTCTTATGCCGTTAACCTAAGTATGAATAATCATGCTTGAATATTGTAAAATATAAATATTAGCAATAATATATTGCTTAGTACATATTTTTAATAAAAATATAATTATTATTCATGAAAAAATTTTTATTTTATTTTTAAGGGGACTTGAAGCATTGGTAGTTGACTATTTACGTGTACCAGTTGTAGGACAGCTGGCTAACAAAGCTGGACATGCAGCTATTACTCTTCTTGCGATTGTCACCTTGGCTGGATTTATGAAAGTCATTTTTGTTGGTGATGGACTTGGCAATGCCATGGTTACACTTTGGAAATTGTAATATTACTTAATGTGTTTTTAATGTAGTGGTGTAACATGTAAATATTTTGTTGAATAAAATGATAATTTTATCGATTATTTGAATCAAGTTCAGTTATAGTTACAAGCAATAAATAAATTATTACTTACAATGATATTTTTGTACACATTTTATCCTACTAATATCTAAAATTATAATCCACAAGTGACAAATTGTCATTGTAGTTTCAGATTGCAGAAAAATAATTCTTTTATACAATGTGTCCTTTCAAAAAGTGATGGCCAGCATTATATGTTAGTATACCTAAAGTTATAAAAAATAAAACCCCTTTAACGTCTAACTATATTTTTTTTTAGTTTTAGGCAATTTAACCTTATTTTAAACAAAACCAAACCTACTGTACATTTGCTGAAGTGTCTTCAAAACTTTTTATCGTTATTTTTTTTCTGAAAGCTATTTTACTAAAGACATGTTTATGAACCTTTTTATATTTCTCATCATCCACCCACCCAAAATAGTAAAGTATAAAAGTACAAAATAAAATTTAAGATAGTATGGCAATTTTTTTCCTGTCACCGGGATCAACATTTCAACAATTGTTATGAAGGACTAACATTGGTTATTTTAGACTCTAGGCAATAAATAAGGCTTTTCTAGTTTTCTCATATTATTATGCTTTTTAGATAGAAATTCCTTATTATTCATACTTCCATATTGTATATACTATATGTATAACCATCAACTTAATATAAAATATTTATCTGGTCTCCACAAGAAAATACTAATTCAAAAATGGCTCCGTGACTGAACATGTTTGGGAAGTGGTATTAAAATAGATTACTTAAGCATAAATTATAAAATCAAATACAATCACTAATTCACCATATTGGTACTATTTAAATTTACTAAGGAACAGCAGATTATAATTAATAATTTCTAATATTATTAATTTTAGTTTGAACCTATAAAACAAGCCCCCCTGACTAAGATTTAGCCCCCCCCCAAATAAAAAAAATATTCCTTATTCCACCTATAGGTTATTTTAAATTAATAATTTTTTAAGAGGGCTGTAGCCCCTCCCGAATTTTAACTTTAGTTGAGCTTATGCCAACCGGTAATGTTAATGCAATTTTTACCATTATATACAAGTTTGAAAATATATCTTGAAGTTTTTCCAAAATATGCTTAAAATAATATAAGAGCAAAGTAATAGTTTAGAAATATAATGTTAACATTGTATATTAAACTTTAGTTGGAAAACAAAAATCCAACTTAAAAACTATTTTCTATTTTTATTTTTTTATTATTGTTATTTGAACTTTAAGAAGATATTTTTCCCCAGTGCCTCCCACTGGACATGTTCCTGCATACCTACCTAATTAAAAAAAAAAAAGTTTTAATATTTAATTTTTAAAGATATTATTATCATATTAAGTATAATTATATAATTTATAAAATATACCGTTTACCTGTTTTAAAAATTAATCAAATTCAAAACTGTTGAATAATTACCTCATATTATTATACTTAGTACAATCCTTAATGTATTGATGATGATGCTTGATGATGATATTGATGTATTGTACATATTAATATTGAGTATATTCTGTACAATATCTACTCAATGAAATTATATATTGTTCTACGAATATTTTGCCATGTGCCCATGTATGATTTTTATGTATTATATTTTCATACACCCTCCTCAAATGTTGCAATTGCAAGGCGCTAAGACATGAGCATATGATTGGGTGCCACTGCCTACCTATATAGTAGCATTTTAAATGTTTACTTAGTTTTTATTTCTAATTACATATTTTAAAGATAACTTGAATTAACTTTATTTTGATATTTTTAGTCACTCACTTTATCACTTTTTATCATAGATTATATTATATCAAAAACTACTAATAATTTAAATAACCTAAAAAGATTCAAAATATTTTGAAATTATGATCATGTCTTTAAAATGCTAAAATTAAGTTTTTAATCTTTGGATTACAAAAAAAAATAAATTTTGTGGGAAAATTAAATTTTCCTTATTTTTTTTTATTTTATCAAAGAAGCTCAAATTTTCAATGACTCAATTCTCAAAGTACATATTATATTTAAATTTTTGGTAAATTAAGTTTTTAATTTAATACACACAATTAACACTTGGAATTGTATATCTTTAGTAGTCGACTGCACTGTATGCTGAGTAAACATATTAAATTTCATGAAAGTGTGGATAATATACAAATTCTTTTACAAGCACATTTTTTAGCATATTTCAATATTAATGTTTTTAGATCATACAGAATTTGTTGGTCATACCACAGAATATTTTATTATATTTAACACATTGTTTTTTTTTTTATGGCAAATTATATTAATATTTCCTAATTTAGTTAAATCTTTATAAACAATTTTGTGAAAATAAATAGATTTTAATAATTAGTAAAATTATTTTAATTTTTAGTTTTTTTTTTTCGGAAATTATTACTAATTAATAATAAATTAGTAAATAAAGAGTGTTGTAACTTTTTATATTATTTTAAAACTGAATCATACTTTTGATTTTAAGTAGAACACAGTTTTTACAATCATAGTTATTCACATTTTTGGCAAGTTTAGGTGCATAAAAGCATATTTTAAGAACATTTTTTCGAATTATTAGTGCATATAAATTCGACCTAAAACATTTCATTAGCCTAATAATATTAAAAACTACTACCAAAATAAAATTATGTTTATTTTATTCATCAACATAATAATATTTTAACTGAACTAAATAAAGTTTAAAAAAAAAATTGTGAAAAATTATACTTGAGTATTTTATATTACTACAAAGAACAATAACTGTAAGTTATACAATAGTTGACCATGGATTCAACCACTTGTTCCGACAATTTTTTTCCACTGTATCTTTATCAACTCGTTTGGCCAATTTTTCAAAGTCTTCAGTAGCTTCTAATCGCTTAGTATCAGGTAAAAATGTCTTGGAAATCCTAAACACACCTTCAGTATCTAAATGTGTACCCCAATATTCTTCTTTTTCTGGTAATCCGTCAGGTGTTTGTATTGGTGTTATTTTTATTAAATGTTTAACTTTCCACAATCGTGCATTCATTTCTGGTGTATTTTTTACAATAGCTATATCACTACCCTAAAACAAAATAAGTATTAATATTATTCATTTTAATAAAATATAACTAAAAATAACTCTGTTAAAAAATAAAATCAATCAAAAGATTTTTTAAAATTCTATGTTTACAAAATAAGGCTGTTCACAATAAACTAACATTCAATTTTAATCTGTAAAGCAAAAAGATTAAAATTGAATGTTAGTTTATTGTGAACAGCCTTATTTTGTAAAAATAGAATTTAAAAAAATCTTTTGATTGATTTTATTTTTTAACAGAGTTATTTTTATAAATTATAAGTTATAATTTATAATACCTACATGCACGTATGAATTACAAATTAAAATAACATCCAATAACTAAATAATTGAATTTGGAATCACTACATTTTTATCAAAATTATTAATTGCAAATTGCAATAAAAAAAAAAAAAGATTCTTAATGTTTTTTGTAGTTATGGGTAAATTGCGGATATAATAGTTTGTTTCAAGCAATAAGGAATCTAAATTGCATAAAACTGATTTAATAAGAGTATATTACTTTATGATCTAAGCCCATGTCGGTCAATATTTTTTTTTGCCAATACGGATTATATAAATAACGTTTAACTCTCTGAACCATGAATAATTTTGTCGCTGTATATGGTGGGTCAACTTCACCTTCTCTGAAACCATTTATAAAAAAAAACAAATAAAACATTTTAAAACAACACAAATTAAAACTTTACCTAGGGTAATATGTGAATCCGAGGTATTTTTTACCACCAGTCCAGGAGTTTAAACTTCGCACAGCAATAGTCTTTGTACACAAACAGCATTTTTTTAAATTAACTAGACTTAACATCTTTAAACAATTATGTTGGTTATTCCTATAAAAGAAAAATTATAATAAGTACCAACAAATAATCTATTAATTCATACAAAGATAAAGAAAAATGTACAGTGCCTATTATCTAGATCTATCTTTTTTTATAGTAATTACTTATTTACTTAAGATAATAAAATATAAAACTAATACGTTGTTATTACTTTATAGTTAATACTAACTCAGAACTCTTAAAATGTAACTTCTTAACGCTATGGAATTGTTATTTATGATTTATGGAAACCAGAATACCAGATGGCTGAATGATTAATATCTTATCTTTTATCTATGGTCAAATGATTATTCACTATACCAATTACCTGGTACCATAAACATATATACTGGTACAATATACCATAGTTCATGCCATGACTAAATAAACTGGCGGGAGAATGTATTGGAATGACTGTCAACTTGAGGACTAGTTTGTATCATGAACTTAGTTCATACCTAGTATGTATGGTTAAATTTAGCTTGCGATTACGAGGCCAACGACTGAAATAGAAAACCCATAGACTATGAGAAAACCAGAATAGGCAGATAAATTTCAGATCACAAATATTTCTGTAAAAGAACATGAGATTTTTCAATAATAGGCTGTATATTAAATATTTACTAAACTGAGTGTGTGGTGAGTTCTATGTAATTAACATATATTTTATACCATCTATCGGAGACGATTAACGATTATGATAATTTTAGTGAACGAAAAAAAAAAATTTTCATAAAATATTTCGATACTTTCAAGTTTTAGTTCGGAGCGAAATGAAAACGGATGAAGATAGCTGTTTCTTCGGCGGATTTACTTACTGCACGTCTGCACTCTACATATGGCACAGCTAGCCGCTAGGTTTCCCCGGAAGAGTCAATGGTTACGCGTAAGTTTGTTTTCATATTATTTTTGGGGTTTCATTTACTTTTTAGACTTACATTAAATATTTAATGTCACGGACAATCTGTTAACTGGGTGACGTAGAAGCATATACGATTACTCCCAAAAGCCCAATGTATAAAATACGTGAGTCCGAACAGTCCAAAGGTCGCCTTCGTTTCACCACACCAAGTTTATTACGTATCTTTTTTGCATATACTATACGACGGGTCATAGGCGAAATTTGGGAGGGATTAGCCCCCCCTCCCTAGTTTTATTTAAGTCCCCCTAAGTTTTTAAATATATTCATTCTTAAATCCACCCATTAAAAAAATTATGCGGGTCTGTATTGATTTTATCCCCCCCCACCCCAAATCAGTTGTCCAAATTGCGCCGAGTAACACCTTAGGTTTGAGCGAAGTATTTAAAACAATATAATATTATTAATCTTTATATTTTACATTTATTAAAAGTTATAATTTATAACTACACCTACCAAATTAAAGTTTTGACAAAATTGGTTATTTTAACCAGTTATAACGATTTTAGTTCTCTATTAAGGGGCCTGCTCGCGATTTTTCAAATTTTCCGCAATTCTATAAAATTTGAAAATTAAATTTTATATTTTAGTTGCCACCTCAATTATAAGACTTTTCCACTAATCTACTACCCAATACCTATTTAGGGGGGGTTGATAGGGTGTATTATATCGGTCAAAACACAGTTTACAGGAAAAACTCTCACACCTCGTAGATTGGTCCGATTTCCGTAATTTTTTTTTTGTTAGATAGAGGAATATTTTTTACAGGGCTCATTGGACTTCGATTTTTGATTACGTAGCTAAAAACAAAAATAATACAAAAACTAAAAAGTTGTAAAAATTGATTAAATTCAAACTTGTAACATAAGACTTAGAAAAATAATGTTGAAAATCCAAGTCCAATGCGCCCTGTAAGAAGTCTTCCTCTATCTAACAAAAAAAAATTACGGAAATCGGACCAATCTACGAGGCGTGAGAGCTTTTCCTGTAAGGCATGTTTTTGAGCAAAAAAACAGGTCGCGTGCAGGCCCCTTAAGGTGTAGGTACTTAATACAAACAATGGACTATTATTCGAAATATCGAAAACACAATTTCATAAATTATTATTTACTAAATAGGTACAATGAAACTAAAAATAGAAATATGATCACATACTGAGAATAATATATATTATTATATTCAGGGCCGTATTAGAGGTTAGGTTGGAGGGTTGGAGGCAACAGGGACATTTGACCCGGGTGGCCAATTTTTGACACATTTAGGTCTAACCTTGAATGCTTATATTATATGAAAACTGTGACTAAGAATTTTTAATATTTTTCAAATTTCATTGTAACAATATAGTATGAGCCTTGCATTAATTTTCAAGCTTTTTTACCCAACAAATAAAGTTTTATTGACATTCATAGAAAAAAAGACAGAAAATGTTCCTAAACAGTTCAAAACAAATCAAAATATTTGAACATTTTATCGTTCAGAGAAAATGGAAATATAAACGACTAGTGAAAATTTCATGTATCTACGGTCATTTGTTTTAGAGTTACACCAAAACCAAAATCGATTTTTCGTAAAAATTCCCGTTTTTCCTTAATTTGTTTGTGGTTTTTCCCGTCGCTTTTGAAACTATAGGGAATTTTTACCTCCTCAATGCACCAACAATATTGACTTTCCCATCGAACAAGATACTGAAGTTGAAATTCGAAGCATTATTATTTACACTACTTATCATATATACAGACACAAAAATAAAAAAACACATCATTGTAAAATCAATACATTCATTGTTCCACTCAGAATCTAAAAGGCATTATTTTTTTATTTTTTATTTAAATATTGTTAACCCTGGGCGCAAAAAGTGTAAATACTGCCCTGATTATAATTTAAATTCAAAATCATAAACTATTTTGATTATTTTCATATCAGATTTCAACGAAAAAATATTGTTCTTTAACACGGAACTCTATTTGATATAAAAAGTTGCATCATAAGATATCCGTGGATTCGTCATATTGACGTAGGTACCTAGTATAATATCTATCATTTATATTATATGGCAAATCTCAAAGTCATTGCAGAAGACACAGTCGATTAAAAATTCTAAAATTTCAAAAAGCAATCAGATATAAGCAAAAAACTATAATTATTACGTTCTGTATAATTTTTTTTTTCATAAATCACAATATTTTAAGTTCTGTATTCTGGAGCGGCCTCTCAGTGAACACACGTCACGAAAGAATTTGTTTTCATATTCTTCTGGGGCTTAAATAATAAATTTACTTTTAAGAATTCAAATAAATATTTAATGTCACGGAAAATGTGTTATCCAAGTGTTGTAGACGCATATTTTGGTTCCGAACTATAAATGTATAAAATACGTGAGATACTGCAATAACGTCGTCGTCGTTTTTCCAGTCCCCGGTCGTAGAATAATTATAATTAATAGGTGAATACCTATATATTGGGTACTTGAAATAGACATACTATATGTTCTGGTTTAATTTATAGAAATATATTTTTTAACTAATAATAGTCATAAGATACAATCGAGGATACAATTTTAATTTATAACTGGTAATTTTTTTTCAAATCCAACGTTATAAGTTATATTTAACTATTAACTTAGTGCAACATACTTAACCTCTTTTACTCTCCTAATATCTATACCATAGGGATTACTATTGTCTATTAGGAACGTATAACCATAGACCTATTAAGACCTATATATCTTAATAGGTCTATGATGTAAACACTAAAAAAGGTGTAAATAATAAGTATGCTAATAAAATGTATGAGGTCTATAATTTATATAAAACATTAATATTAATAATATTATAATGTTTTAAATACTTCGCGCAAACCTAAGGCGATACCCAGCGTATAGTATATGCAAAATGGTACGTATTAAACTTGGTGAGGTGACACAAAGACGGCCTTTGGACTGTTCGGTCTAGCGTATTTTATACATTGCGCTTTTAGGATTAAATATATAAATGCTTCAACGTCAACCAGTGGCCAGTTAACAGATTGTCCGTGGAAATAAATATTTAATTTAAGTCTAAAAAGTAAAATATGTAAGCACCAAAATAAAATGAAAACAAACTTACACGTAAACATCGACTCTTCCGGTATACCTAGTTAAGAGTGTAGCCAAAGAAACAGCAATATTCATCCATCATCACCTCACTCAGAACTGCAACTTGAATTTATCAAAATATTTCATGAAAATAACAAAATCATAATGAAATGTGCGAGTAGCGAGTTTGTGTTACAACTTACATTATGATATACGGGTACGGCTTAACGAACCAATATACATCTATCCCATCAATATAGGCTTATTATTTTTTTTGTTCACAGAAATAATTATTAGAATTAATGGAGGAAAGAAGATCTGGGGCATCTATTGATCCATCTAGTAAGCCATGAATAAAGCGGAAATCATAATCAAATAGTCGAGAAGAAAGCGTAGGAATGTTTAATTTTAAAAGCACTGGTCATGCTCTAGAAAGTCAGGATATGGTTGATTTTGAGTAAGAAAGAGATATAAGATAAAAACCTATTTAGGACTCTTTCAAGTCTTTTGCTTATATATTATACTCAGCACTTATACAACGTATTGATAAATTGTATGTTAATATAATATAGAAATCTTTGTGATCTGCAATGTACCTATCAATACTCTATCAATATTCAAGAATATACAAACAATTGAACTAGAGCTAAATTAATAAAAAAAAAATTGAAGGAGGGGTGTTGGAGCCCGCAGGCAAATGCATTTTAGAAAACAATAAAAAAATTTAAAAAAAATTATACAGTAGGAACACACATTAAAGAGTTCGAACTAAAATGTCCAGAATCTTAAACTGAAAAAACAATTCACAATGATTAGCTCATTAAAGAATGATAATACAGAGGGCACCTGGAGGTTATCAATATTCAAGACTATACAACAAATTCAACTAGAGGTAAATTATGAAAAAAAAAAATTGAAGGGGTGTTAGAGCCCTCAGGCAAATTCATTTTAGAAAACAAAAAAGAAATGTAGAAAAAACTGTACAGTTCGAAAAA